ATTACAAAAACTGTCAAAAAGAATAAAATTCTCCTTAAACTTCTGCTGTTACTGGAGCTAAATGTCCATGAGTGGAAACATTAATATTTTTAAATAGTTCTATTGAGGTATAGTTTACACCATACATTCACGTCTTTTAAGTTCAGGGAGCCATAATTTTAATGTCATTATATAATAGTCACAAGAGCTATTTCTGACTCTACAGTAATGCTTCACATGTAGTTAATATACTAAGTATTTTGTTGTTATATCAATAAGATGATCCCAAACATTGGTCACAATTTCAATGAGAAAGACTTTAGGATCTTGTTAGGAAACGTGTCAGTGGTATCACTCCCGTCGTACATTATTACTCAAGTCTACTTTTTATTCAGATCAAGACTCTCCTGTTAGGCTGTGAGACACAACTTTCCACACACACAGGAACTCATGAAATCTCCAGGGTATGTGTTATCAGGGAAGGTACTTCCAACTTGGAGAAAATACAAAATGCCATTTGAAGGTATATCTTTAACATTGTTTTTAAAAAATTAAGAATAAATGAACAGATTACATCCAGCAGATAAAGAGCTTTTGTTACATTATCTTAAAAATGGTCCTTACTATTTAGGTTCTGTAGAGAATCTTGACTCAGAGACTGAAGATTTGGTTTTGGGTCCTGTGGAACTACTTACAAGGCTCTCAGGCCTCATCTTGGTTCACTCATAATCTCTGGGGCTTAGTGTCCCATCCGTGAAATTGGGACCAGGATAATTGCCCTGACTAATTTAGAGAGTTTTAATTAGGAGCAATGGAAATAATGTAAGGAAAAAGTGCTTTGTTAGCCAAAGTGCTGGTCAATTGTAAGGTATTACTTTTGTTATCACAAATCAAGAAAATGTTCTTTATTAATCAAAATCATTTGCAAATAGTTCTAAGTGTCTATCTGAAACTTGAGTCCCCCTAAAACCGAGCTCCTCTGATGAGTTTGTAGTTCACCTCTCTATCCAAAACGTTGTTCCCTTTCTTGTCCAATCCTATTCCCCTCAAGATTGAGGAGTATCAAAGAAAAGGGGATTAAACTGAGCAGGACACTGGGGGGCCCTTCTGGAACACAAAACCTTTCCATGTCCCTTGTTTCTTGCTTGTAGGAAAAAGACTTTCAGTCTCTTTGGCCTCCCCTGAGTTCCAAAGGGTAGATTCAAAGAGTTATTAATTAGGAGAGTAAGGAAATGCAGAAAGAAGCAACAGTGCAGGATAGGGCAGGGTCCTGGTTCTTCCTTGGCTGATATACATAACAACCTGACACATGTCTCTGAGTTCTTCTACAGGAACTAAGGCTCCCACCCACGTGGACAATGGTAACTCCAGGCTGAGCACAAGCATGTGGACCCAGACTGGTTGGAACCAGAAAGCCAATGACTGAGATTCCTGGGACACCACCCTGTTACCTCACCACCAACCAATCAGAAGAAAGTCACACACCCTGCAGCCCTCCCACAAATTTTGCCTGTAAAAATTCTTACCCCAAAATTGATTTTGGCAGGTGAGAGGACCTTGGCTCTTGCTTCTCTGGAGAAATAATTCCACAAAGAGACCAAGGTTATAAGGCACAGAGTTTATTAGAAGCACAGTACGTGTGGGAGAGTGCACCAAGAAGCAGTTTATTTAGGGCAGGAGCGAAAGTTACACACTTGGAGAAGAAGAGCATGAATGTCCTTCAGAGTGAGGAACACAGGATAGGGACAGCCTAGGTTGTTAATATGGGGTTAATCTTCCAGATTTAGATGAGGGTGCCTCCCCTTTCCCTCCCCTATGATCACATTGTCTGCAATTTCTTATTTGGGCTTCCACCAGGCACCATTTTGAATCTTTCCCATGAGCACGTTAAGTGAAAACTCATGGGGTGGAGGTGTGTAAAAACTGCAATGCTAATGATATTATAATGATGTTACAATGTGTCCAAGGCTACTAGAGGACAGCTAGAGACACCCTCTGTGTGTGTGTCAGGCTGGGAAACCTCCTTGACCACAAGAATGTGGAGACTGAGGTGGGCCTCCTCATCTTTCATCTGTTTAGGGCTCATCATACTAATAGTAGTTTATCTCAAAGGGTCAACATGCAACCTGCTGCAACAGATTAACCTGAAGCCTATCTATCTCTTACTGCAAAGTGCATGCTCCACAATTTTCATGGTCAGAGTTTCTTGCTCAGATGTTACAGATTTTCTGTTTTAGATGCCATTTCTCCTTGTGTCATGGCCTCATTTAGTGCAAAACTGGGAGATGGCTTTGCCTTCTGCCTAATGTCTATACATAAGGAGGCTGTTCTTGGACCTGGCTGCAGCTTTCCTGCCTCCAAACCATTGGAGAGTTTGGGCATTATGAACATGAGCTGCCCATTCTCCTTTCTTGGCCTTGCAATAAACATTTCTCTGCTCCAAACTTGGGTGTTTCAGTTTGTTTGGCCTCCATGTGCATTGGGCACATGAACTTGGGTTGACAACATATCTAAACTTGGTGCCATATATTCAGGATAAACACATGTGGCTCTGAAATGGACACCTGTAGGGCCTTTGTTCCACAGGGATAATGAAGAGCTGGGATGGATCTCCTGCCTTCACCTTCAACTCCATGTGCTTTCTTCCTGCCACTTCCCATTCTGAATTATTACATTCTTTATTATTAGCAGTTTATTTATTATCACATTAAAAAATAACAAAAACACCTAGTAAGTCACCTGAAGAATGACCAGATTTCTTTAGATAAAATGAGGTAAATTTGTGCCTCTAAATAATTAAGCTTAAAAATAAATAAATAAATAATTAAGCTTAGTTATGGGACAAATAGACTGCATAAGTTGTAAAGCAAGTAAGAGGTTTTAGTAAAAATTGTAAATAAGTAAAGATAAAATCATAATGGTAAAGCTAATGCCAAAAAATATTGTTCTCTGATGGTGGTATCACAAGCCTCAGGGCTTGTCCCTAGCACTTCCATGGACTTGATCAAGCTATACATGTTTTTCTTAAAAATTTTCCATAAAATTCAGCTAACACTTTTAACATATTACAAAGCACATTAGGTATCTTGGACATCCCAAAACATAGCAAACTTATTCATACTTAGTTTGGATTAATTTAGACTTGACTCCCTACAAGCCCTCCTGCCACAATCTCATATTCAGTAGATCACAAAACACCATGAATATTTCTCTGCAATATCTTCTAAATTAATGTTTTGTTTCCTTATCTATGGCTATTTTGGATTTCCAAATCTGTCTCCCAGTAACTCCCCAATATTACCATCCTGCAAAGGGATGTTGAGATAACTTGCATACATCTGTCTTTACCATGGCTCTTTCCTGCTCAGGAACTGTCTGCATCTCATTTTTGATGTAAATCAAATCTGTTATATTTCATGTAAGTTTTGTATCCTTCTATACTTCCTCTGTCCATTTCTCATAGCCAATCAGTAGACTATCCAGTTTAGTCAATTTGGCTTCATTAACGTGAGCATGGGGTCACCATACTTGTCCTTCCATTTGTACGTTTGCTTAGAACTTTTGGAATTAAGATACCTTCTACTTTTTCATTGATTCATTAAATGAACAAATACTTAATGAATGCCTGTTCTATGTTAGGCACTCTTCTAGGTATGAAGATACACTGGTAATATGAGAGATCAGGCCCATTCTCAGGGAAAAATAATAGCCAATATATAAACAAACAATAAATAAACAAAATAGGACAATGATATATTATGGAGAAAGTAAAATATGATAATGTGATAGAGAATGATCGGAGGGAGGGATAGTTTTGGGCTGGTCTAAGGGAGTCCCATTATGAGGAGGTGAGACAATGACAAGAAGGAGGCAGCCAGATGGAGACTGAAGGTGAAGGTCCTCCAGCTGGAAGACATAGCATGAAGGTTTAGAAACAGAAATGAGCTTGGTGTGTTCAAAAGATAAAAGTACGTTAACTGTAGCGAGTGAGGAGGAAGAGAGATGGTCCGAGGGGGCCGGGGCCAGATCATGTAGGGCTTTATAGCTCATGGGGAAGGGTTTACGTATTATTTTACATGTCCTGAGAAGTCACTGTAGTGCTTTTGGTAAGAAACAGGAAGATCTAGTGACCATCTCCTCCCCCCACCTCCTATATGCTTTCTCTCCAGCCCAAGGTACAGTGATGATAAGTTCTTTGAACTTTGCACTTTGTTTTTGATCATTTCCTAGTGTGGAGGTGGAGGAGAACTGTTCAGGGCTTTCTAAACTACGTGTGCTCTCCCCTGTCTTCCAGGGGAGCCTCTGATACCCCACTGCCCCACTGCTTTGCAGTCAGCCCATGTTAGCAGTGAGTCATACCTTCTGATGTGTCCTGGGAGAAAAACTTTGACAAATCAGTTTTCTATCCATCTCATGCGTGTATTAGACATAGAAATGTATGAGTAGCTACAGTGGAAGGAACTGAAGGACAGAGAGCTTCCTTCCTCTTTATTTGGTGTATTCCCGGAGCCCATCATATACCACTTATGCACAGGGGACATGCTCAACGAAGTAACTTATTTATAAGACAACATTCCTTTGTTTATTTTCTTCCCACTCAACAGACTCACATTTTGTTTTATATTAAAGTAGTTCAGAAACCAAACTGTGCAGCTTTGCTGGGGTCCACCTAGAGAGGAGAGGCTCCTTTCTAAAGGAGCCCAAACCCAAATATAAAAGCAAATCACAAATGTAAGCCCTTGTAAACCCTTGTATGGCGAACATCTCTGGCAACACTCTCAACACCATGAATTTAAGATAGTCTATTTTTTCCTGTAATGAGATGTAGTGATTCATTTTCATTATCATAAATGCTCTGCTGATCCATCTCTAGTTGCCTTTATCTGTCCCCCAGTCATCTAGCAAGTCTCCATAAAAATATTTTAAATAAGTGTCAGTTTGTGTTCCTAGTTTGCACAAGTAGAGGACCAGGTAGAATGCAAACAACCTGCCACATTCTTTCCTAATAATGTCGCACTTACTAAACAGTCGATCCCTGCTCCACACACGTGCCACCGTTGCCACATTTCATCAAGCGACAAGGAGAAGCATCACACTGGCCAACGCTGCGCCCAGCATTTGGGTGGCCCTCAGGCGTCCCCAGGCTTCTGAAATGGCCCTTCTTCTTAGTGCGAACTTGCAGAGTAAAAATACAACCTTGAAAAGAGAAAAAAATACTTCAGTTTAAAAAATGGAAGAAATGGATAAAACAAGAAGACAATTATTTTTCATTTTTAAAGGAACATTTTTCAAAATAAAGTAATACATGCTAATTTAATAAAAAACAAAACAAAACAAAAAAGAAGCACAGGGTGAAAAATAAAGTCATCTACCATATCACCACTCCAGAGAAAACAGTTATTAACATTTTGAGAAATATATATATATATATACACATATACATATACATATATATATATATATATATATATATATATATATATATACAGAGTTTTTTTCTATGCTTAGTTGTATTTTCTTTCAAACAAAAGTAGAATATTGCATTAAATATTTAATGTATATATTGTACCAAAAATTTGTAGAGCATAAATACCTTTAATTATTTTCTCATAGCATTAACTATTTTTAAATGATAGCATAATAGTCTCTTAGATCATAATATACTTAATTAAATTTCAATTATTGAACTATTGACTCATTTCCTTTTTTTTGGTATTTAAAATAATGCTATAAGAAATTTATTACATGTATACCATGTGCATTTGCTAAGTATTTCCTTAGTATAAATTTCCAGAAGGAAAACTACTAGGGTAACAGATATGGGTGCTTTGCAGTGTGCCCAAGTGTCGTGGATATTTTGCACAGTTATGTCTCCCGCACCAAACACGGGGACACACGCCTCTTCACAGGCACCACAATGCAAGACTTTATTGTCTGCTTCATTTTTAAAGGAAATAAATAATAAAATGCTTTTGTTATTTTTATTTTTTAACATCTTTATTGGAGTACAATAAAGTACAACATTGCTTTACAATGTTGTGTTTGTTCCTGCTGTATAAAAAAGTGAATCAGCTATAAGTATACATATATTCCCATATCTCCTCCCTCTTGCATCTCCCTCCCACCCTCCATATCCCACCACTCCCACCCATCACCAAGGTGATCTCCCTGTGCTATGCAGCTGCTTCCCACTAGCTATCGATTTTGCATTTGGTACTGTATATATGTTAATGCTACTCTCTCACATCGTCCCAGCTTACACTTCCCACTCCCTGTGTCCTCAAGTCCATTCTCTGCATCTGCATCTTTATTCCTGTCCTGCCCCTAGGTTTGTCAGAACCTTTATTTTTTTCTTTTAGATTCCATATACATGTGTTAACATATGGTATTTGTTTTCCTCTTTCTCATTTACTTCACTCTGTATGACAGACTCTAGGTCCATCCACCTCACTACAAATAACTCAATTTTTTTCTTTTTATGGCTGAGTAATATTCCATTGTATATATGTGCCACACCTGCTTTATCCCTTCATCTGTTGATGGACACTTAGGTTGCTTCCATGTCCTGGCTACTGGAAATAGTGTGCAATGAACATTATGGTACATGACTCTTTTTTTTTTTGCAGTATGCAGGCCTCTCTCTGTTGTGGCCTCTCCCGTGGTGGAGCACAGGCTCTGGATGCCCAGACTCAACGGCCATGGCTCATGGGCCCAGCCGCTCTGTGGCATGTGGGATCTTCCCCGATCGGGGCACAAACCCGCGTCCCCTGCATCGGCAGGCAGACTCTCAAAGACTGCGCCACCAGGGAAGCCCTACATGACTCTTTTTGAATTATGGTTTTCTCAGGGTATATGCCCAGTAATGGGATTGCTGGGTCATATGGTAGTTCTATTTTTAGTTTTTTAAGGAACCTCCATATTGTTCTCCATAGTGGCTATATCAATTTGCATTCCCACCAACAGTGCAAGAGGGTTCCTTTTTCTCTACACCCTCTCCAGCATTTATTGTTTGTAGATTTTTTGATGATGTCCATTCTAAGCAGTGTGAAGTGATATCTCATTGTAGTTTTGATTTGCATTTCTCTAATAATTAGTGATGCTGAACATCTTTTCATGTGTTTGTTGGTCATCTGTATGTCTTCTTTGGAGAAATATTTACTTAGATCTTCCACCCATTTTTTTGATTGGGTTGAATTTTTGATATTGAACAGCATTAGCTGCTTGTATACTTTGGAGATTAATCCTATGTCAGTTGCTTCATTTGCAAATATTTTCTCCCATTCTGAGGGTTGTCTTTTCATCTTGTTTATGGTTTCTTTACTGTGCAAAAGCTTTTAAGTTTCATTAAGTCTCATTTGTTTATTTTTGTTTTGATTTCCATTTCTCCAGGAGGTGGGTCAAAAAGGATCTTGCTATGATTTATGTCATGGAGTGTTCTGCCTATATTTTCCTCTAAGAGTTTTATATTCTCTGGCCTTGCATTTAGGACTGTAATCCATTTTGAGTTTATTTTTGTATACGGTGTTAGGGAGTGTTCTAATTTCATTCTTTTACATGTAGCTGTCCAGTTTTCCCAGCACCACTTATTGAAGAGGCTGTCTTTTCTCCATTGTATATTTTTGCCTCCTTTATCAAAGATAAGGTGATCATATGTGCATGGGTTTATCTCTGGGCTTTCTAACCTGTTCCATTGATCTATATTTCTGTTTTTGTGCTGGTACCATACTGTCTTGATGACTGTAGCTTTGTAGCATAGTCTGAAGTCATGGAGCCAGATTCCTCCAGATCTGTTATTCTTTTTCAAGACTGCTTTGGCTACTCCTGTTTTTTTGCGTTTCCATATAAATGGTTAATTTTTTTTGTTCTAGTTCTGTGAAAAATGCCATTGGTAGTTTGATAGGGATTGCATTGAATCTGTAGATTGCTTTGGATAGTATAGTCATTTTCACAGTGCTGATTCTTCCAATCCAAGAACATGGTATATCTCTCCATCTGTTTGTATCATCTTTAATTTCTTTCATCAGTGCCTTATAGTTTTCTGCATACAGGTTTTTTGTCTCCTTAGGTAGGTTTATTTCTAGGTGTTTTATTCTTTTTGTTGCAATGGTAAATAGGAGTGTTTGCCTAATTTCTCTTTCAGATTTTCCATCATTTGTGTATAGGAATGCAAGAGATTTCTGTTCATTCATTTTGTATCCTGCTACTTTACCAAATTCATTGATTAGCTCTAGCAGTTTTCTGGTAGCATCTTTGGGATTATCTATGTATAGTATCATGTCATCTGCAAACTGTGACAGTTTTTCTTCTTTTCTAATTTGGATTCCTTTTATTTCTTTTTCAAGATGCTTGATATGACTTCAATTATCTTAAATTTACTGAGGCTTGATTTTTGACCCAAGATATGATCTATCCTAGAGAATTTTCCATGAGCACTTGAGAAGAAAGTGTATCCTGTTGTTTTTGGATGGAATGTCCTATAAATATCAATTAAGTCCATCTTGTTTAATGTACCATTTAAAGCTTGTGTTTCCTTATTTATTTTCATTATGGATGATCTGTCCAATGGTAAAGTGAGGGATTAAAGTCCCATACTATTATTGTGTTACTCTCGTTTTCCCCTTTTACAGCTGCTAGCATTTGCCTTATATATTGAGGTGTCCTATGTTGGATGCATAAATAATTACAGTTGTTATATCTTCTTGGATTTATCCCTTGATCATTATGTAGTGTCCTTCTTTGTCTCTTGTAATAGTCTTTATTTTAAAGTCTATTTTGTCTGATATGAGAATTGTTACTCCAGCTTTCTTTGATTTCCATTTACATGGAATATCTTCTTCCATCCCCTCACTTTCAGTCTGAATGTGTCCCTAGGTCTGAAGTGGGTCTCTTGTAGACAGCATATGTATGGGTCTTGTTTTTGTATCCATTCAACCAGTCTATATCTTTTGGTTGGAGCATTTAATCCATTTACATTTAAGGTAATTATCGATATGTATGTTCGTATTACCATTTTCTTAACCGTTTTGGGTTTGTTTTTGTAGGTCTTTTCCTTCTCTTGTTTTTCCCACCTAGAGAAGTTCCTTTAGCATTTGTTTAGTGCTGGTTTGGTGGTGCTGAATTCTCTTAACTTTCGCTGTCTGTAAAGGTCTTAATTTATCCTTCGAATCTGAATGAGATCCTTGCTTGGTAGAGTAATCTTGGGTGTAGGTTTTTCCCTTTCAACACTTTAAATATGTCTTGCCACTCCCTTCTTGCCTGTAGAATTTCTGCTGAAAGGTCAGCTGTTAACCTTATGGGGATTACCTTGTATGTTATTTTTTGCTTTTCCCTTGCTGCTTTTAATATTTTTTCCTTGTACTTAATTTTTGATAGTTTGATCAATATGTGTCTTGGTGTATTTCTCCTTGGATATATCCTGCATGGGACTCTCTGTGCTTCCTGAACTTGATTTACGATTTCCTTTCCCATGTTAAGGAAGTTTTCAACTATAATCTCTTCAAATATTTTCTCAGTCCTTTTTTTTTTCTCTTCTTCTTCTGAGACCCCTCTAATTCAAATGTTGGTGTGTTTAGTGTTATCCCAAATGTCTCTGAGAGTGTCTTCAATTCTTTTCATTCTTTTTTCTTTATTCTGCTCTGTTACAGTTATTTCCTCTCTTTTATCTTCCAGGTCACTTATCAGCTCTTCTGCCTCAGGTTTTCTGCTATTGATTCCTTTTAGAGAATTTTAAATTTCATTTATTGTGTTGTTCATCATTTTTTGTTTGCTCTTTAAATCTTCTAGTTCCTTGTTAAAAGTTTCTTGTATTTTCTCCATTCTATTTCCAAGATTTTGGATTATCTTTACTATCATTACTCTGAATTATTTTTCACGTAGACTGCCTATTTCCTCTTCGTTTGGTCCATCTGGTGGGTTTGTACCTTGCTTCTTCATCTGCTGCATATTTCTCTGTCTTCTCATTTTTTTTAACATACTGTTTTTGGCATCTCTTTTTCGCAGGCTGCAGGTTTGTAGTTCCCGTTGCTTTTGGTGTCTGCCCCCAGTGAGTGAGGTTGTTTCAGTGACTTGTGTAGGCTTCCTGGTGGAGGGGACTGGTGCCTGTGTTCTGGTGGGTGGGGCTGGATCTTGTTTTTCTGGTGGGCAGGACCATGTCTCATCCTGTGATTTGGGGTGTCTCTGAACTTAGTATGGTTTTA